TGAGGGGCCCCGCCGCCTGATAGCGGTGCGGCGGGGCCGGCGTTTTGTCATGCCGATCCGGCAAACGAGGTCACCGACGTTCCGGTGCCGCCGTTTCGCTGTTCTGCTGCTGCGGAAGCCCCGGATGAAACACTCGAGGGGTACATGGCGCCCACGAACATTGCACTAGCAAACAGGCATTGAAACTGCCATTTTTAGAGGACACATATGTACGTTAAATATTTAACCCGTTTTATTTCGTATTCGAATGTTCTGTTGCGGTCTATGCTTATCGCATTCATAATTTAATTAATAGTTATTATAATAGCTTGTTGTAAATTATCGCATTTAACGATTCTAGTGAAATTGTCATTGTTACAAAATTAAATTGTCGCATGAAGTTAGGACAATATTTTTATTTAAATTGCTCCAGCTATTATTTTGCTCCGGTACCACAAATTTTAATTCGATATAAATTATTTATTCGTTATGTCGATTAGTGAGTAAATAATTATTCACAAAATGCATTTGCATAATTTTTCAATTTAATTTATTTTATTTATAAAATGACAACAATAATGAATTTGGGTTATTATTATCAACAAAACGTTAAATAATTATTCTGTTATATTTTAAATTAATAATTTCCACATTTTCTATAACAAACTTCAGAGTTGATATAAAATATAATATTTCATTAATTTTCACAACAAGGTTGGCTACACCTAAAAATAATCCTGTGTGCAATTTTGTTTGAAATTTTACTGTGTAACAACAAACGATAACAATTCAATAGATTTTGGATTGTATAATTTATAAATTTACCAGTCAAATAAATCTGCTATTTAATTTGATCTTATATACTTATTCGTTTTAAATATTGAGTAAACTTAATTTAAATTCACAAGATATTGCTTTTAGCATTATTCGTACACGAACTGTCGATTTGTTCAGTCGATTGTAATAAGTTTTCACAACATTTTAATCAACTTGGTACGGAAATGGTTCATTTCAACTCATGTTTTTAGATTTCATTACATTATAAAACTTTTTCATGTGCATTATAAAAGTAAACAGAATCCATTACCTAGGCAAAATTTATAACTTACATTGCACTAATATCATAAAACCACTTTACAAAAATTTTAACTTTAATATAAATTTGCACAGATCTAAGTTTGGGTTTAAAACTTGATTACAAAATGCACTTCCACTCACAATAGTTTTTCATATTTATCCCAACTATCGAATCCTTTCAAATGAACTAATTTTCATAAAATCTCATCCGACCGAAATTGACAGTTCATCGCGGCGGTCATTTTTGTTCGGATGGTATTCATTTTTCACTTACATCCGTCACCGAGTTCGCACGAAAACTATCGATCACAGATTATAAAATAAAAATTATGAAATTTGTAAAAATCTTATTAAATCTCGTGCACGTACCTGAACGTGTGTCCGTGCAAAAACACACATTGCACAGATGCGCCGTCTCCCTTTGTTATAATCAATAATATGGTACAGGGGCCGGCAACTGGCACAGAATCCCATACAAGCACACACCCGACTGTTAAATAATGCTTGTTTGTGTAATATAAACAATGTTTGTTATTTTTAAGAAAAAATTAAGATTAGAATTATTAGAAAAATGAAATAAAAATATAAAAAAGTGATAAAAATTCGACAAGGTTCCACCGAGATTTGAACTCGGATCGCTGGATTCAAAGTCCAGAGTGCTAACCATTACACCAGGAACCGCTGGGTACAGGTTCTGTCGCAAGCAATTAATATTGGCGTCGGTAATTTAAGAGTTAGTATTAAAACCAGCGAGTATATAAAGCCAATCCCTATAACGCGGTATACTTGAAACGCGATTTTTATACTAAACGGAGCTAAAATTGCAAAGTTTCCTTTAAACAGCTCATACGTTTTTTATTATTCATCATATTTTTTTTGAATTTATAAATTCCCTTTACATTCCGTAATTCCTACTAATTCTGAGTTTTTATATCACTAATCTCTTACAACACGATAGCTTTTTTATCGCGAAGGAAATGCCTTTATGCATCCAGACTGGTGTTTTGTCTGGGTGTGTGTCAGGCTCTATACCGCCCTGGTATAATACCGACTAAAACCTCCGCTTTGCCCTGCCACTGATCACGTAAACCGCCTTTGGCATTACTCGTGGGGGAGGATCTAGAATGTTATCATTCAAACTTGATTTTATAATACGATAAACAACACGATAGCTAGTTTTCATGGATTGTACATTATTTTTATATCACTGTTTATTATTTTATTTTATTTTTACGCTTTTTGTTTTATATTCGGTATTGTATTTTTTGTATATCTTTTTTGTACCTAATTTACAATTTTGTAATAAGACTGTTACAATTTTGATGAATGAATTGCTACAAAAAATATTATTGTACGTTAAATTCAAGTTTCTTACAGCATGTTTTCAAATTACAAGGTGCGCAATTACTTGAAAATAACCTGTAAGCAAATTAAATTTGCTTCAGAAGCATATTTAATGAGGCACTCTTTGACAAAACTGATTCTAACAAAAAATGAACAAGTACCGCAGAGAATGAGAAGAGGACTAAATTTTATTATGTGTGAAAAGGAAACCGAGTCGGACCCATATTGGCACTGAAGTTATGCGCGATATGTGAAGAATTATGAGAGGGACTGAAATACTAGAACACAGAAGACTACAAATGTTTGTACTCGAAAGTAACAAATAAATATAGAAAATTGTAAATTGTACTACTGAAAGTTATTACTCAGGACATGTAAATGAAATAATTACATGTGTCGTATAAAAAATGATTTTTAACGATAGTACTAGGTGAAATGAATATTCAAATTGGTGCTTACTATGGAGATAATAATTTTCATTAGTTCTTAAGAACTCTAATTATAATAACGATAAACAAATCGTGATTTAGAAGTACAGACCTTGAACCTAAAATAAAGGTACGTCGGCGATCAAAATTAACTTCAAACTTACATACTTAATAATCAAAATACATCTTTTATATGATATTGAATTTTATAGAAATCAATACGATATAATATTAAATACGCAGCACATATATGTACTAAGAACTGATTAAATAATTAATAATTATTATGATTCAAGATGTGTACTTACCAGCAAACGGAAATAAAAGTTTGATTACCCAAATATATCTCAATACCAATTTCAATAGCAGTTTGAAAACCAATTGAGTTATTAAATGGTGGTTCTTCTAAGAAATAATAAATTGCTCCAGAAATGCTCTCATTCCCGGAAACCGGATATCTTGCGCGGCATCTCCGCTAGAACTTCCTTAAAAAATAACTTGTAAAATATAATTGAAACTTTCAATTGAATCTTGCAAAAAATATATTGACAGAGCCTTAAGTTATTGATCAAATTCTTAGAATAATTTAATTCATAATAAGTTTTTCTTATTATATGCGGTTAATAAGTGCACTTATGGACATAAAATTTCACATAATAACAGGTATCATAATTGTGTGAGCTGTTCGCAAAGTTAATTCACTTTTTAGTCGTCAATGGAGATTAAACATTTAATCATGTAACGAATTAATAATTAAATATTCAAAACTTAATTTTAAAAATTAACGTATCATCGTCCTTCGCACGTGTCTTTTCTTTCATCAGTTCCCGGAAACGTCTAAAATGATTATTATTTATTTTATTTATTTAAGAAGTTATGAATCTCTTCACTTATTAATAATAAATAAAACATTTAATAAATACCAAGCGCATCAGTTTATTTCAAAACCTGCATCAATACAAAGAAAGCACGCTTACACAGTTGGTTGAAATATTTTTTATTACAAATCAGCTAACTTTGATAATAAATATTAATTATTACTTAAAAATATTCAGTACTAAAATATTAGTTATACCATCATGTTAATTTATATTTCTGATTCAAAATATTAACTATTAAATACTGATTTCATCAAGCTTAATTCATCTTTCTAGTATAAAATATATATTCTATAGCATAATTATAATGATGCATATGTAATAAAATAGATTGAAAATAATTTCAGTTACAATACGAGAAGTTGATCTCTCATTATAAAATCTCAAGATTTAACTTAATACTTTCTTGCAAAATAAGTGAGATTAGTATATTAGTTAGATTTTTATTGATATATGAGCGTACAATATTTTGCCATGCATTTTTTTAGTTTCAGAAAATATTTTTCATATTAATTTAAATATGGATGTATAACATAAAAGTTCATTAAAAATAGCATAAGTATGCTCTATTAAACTAAGTCAATTAAAAATAAAAAAAAATTGCACAATTTTTTGATATATAAATCTCATGCAGTATGAAAATTTGACCACTATTCATGCATTTTATGTTGTCGGGTTGTGAGGGATTTTAAATATTAACAAGCATTTATTATTCTATTACTGTTAGGTGTCATATAATTGAAACTTGCTTGTTTATGATATTTTAAATTAAATAGCTTATAAAATTACAATGTCGCTATTTTTGTCATCACGACACAGAATTTGTTACTGAATGCAATGATAACTAGTTACTTTCCCTAACTAATATCAGCATTTGATGTCATTTCACAAAATTCTGTTTTAAAAATCTTCATTGTTATTTTAAAAACTAAACTAATTAAAAATGGTAATTAACTGAAGAAAGTTTATTTTTTTAATGCTTCACTTTCTATCTCCCGCCTGCTGATAAATTTGTGATCTGGTAATGTATCATAAAGCTATCAAAATATAAACACTATATTGCAATATAATGTAATAAGATTATGCTAATAATAAGTTATTTTATTATATCAGATATAAATTAGATTATTCTTATTTTTGCTTTAAGCATCAATAGTACTATCGAAATAATATTAGAAGATCTTAAAACAATTTCAATACAAAATCTAAGCATTGAAATTAAATACAATTAAATCTAGGAATGTGATATTATGTACAAAATTATATCATTTAATTAACTAGCATTCTAATTCATTGGTGCGTATTGGGTATAAAGTTCATTGTAGCGACCTCACTAACTTCCTGCCTGACTGAAACGAGATATAAACAAAAAATATATATAAATGGATATAATATATATATATATATATATATTATATATATAGTTATATATTTATAATACAGTTGGAGATCTCCGAAGATATGACTCTTCTCATAGTCACATTCAGGTAAATCAAACTTTAATTAGTTTATATATTAAATGTTTATATATAAACATACTATAATAACAAAATTATGCTATTCTCAGTTAAAAGATAAAATTAAAATAATTGGGAAATTAAAATGAATTATCACACAAACACCAAAAGCAGAAAGATAAATCTAAAGAAGCTAGATTGCTAACTACAAGCACTCAATAATAAATACTGATGCTTACTAAACAAAAATAATTCTTTCTATAAAGTTGTAGAAACTATAAATAAAAATAATAGTTTCGTATACAAATAAATTAAAAGGCTGACAAATAAAAGTAATAATAAAAGTGTATTTCTGCACTTTACAAAACCTTGATACAGACAAAAAATTATTAGTGCTCTTATTAATGTGATACTTTATGCTTCAAAAATTAAATATTTATACAATAATTATTATCTATTGAATTTTTTTTCTTATATATTAATATTGAATATTAGCAGACCTTTATTATGAGTCGATCAATTTTAATAATATTGCCATATATTTTCTATTGTACGGAATTTTTTATGAAGCTAAATATTTCAACATTTTCTTGTATTTTCTATTACATTTCATCAATATTTTCAAAGAGGTTATTAAAAAACTTAATTAAATAATAAGATATATAATTCATAGCTGAAATAAAATAACCCAACAAATAGAAGTACATAAATTTGTAAAGCTTAATCATTGCAAAGCATGTTTCATATTTCAAGGCTTAGCAAAATATTTTAAATCATAAAGGATTCATTGAACGTATAATATAAAATAAATGATTATAAAAGGCTTTTGAAATAAAAATTTTATGGAAACAATAAATTCATGATTGAATAAATGCGAGTGTATAAACACTTTCATTAAAATTTTTCTAAAAAATATTATTCTTGACAATTTCATCAACTAATTCAAAGTTTATATTTTTCTGTTTTGATAATTTTTTTGAAATAAATTAATTTATGACAAAGTCATTCTATGTAATTAAATACGTTTTAATATACAATTATTATCAACTAGGCGTAGTTTCTAAAATAGCTTTTTCCATAACATCAAACACTCTGCACAAAACTCTGAATATTTGAAATATTTATCAAAAATATATAAACATGAAGATCAATCTTCGTCAAGCTCTTCTAATATTTATAAAATATTCCAGATAATTCGTATAAAATAATTCTTCCACATTCAACAGCCAATCTGATCGATATGTATTATTAAATATTACACAAAATAAATTTAGCATCTTCGTTATCTTATTGTTATTGCATCCTAAATTATACTTTTTCGACCGTTCTAAAATATTGAAACATTGCTTTGATCATTTCATAAGACACAGAATGTATGATTCACAATTTGAATTTTATTTCTTAATATCATTAACTCATTGTCAGCTAAAAAGTGGTTCCATAGCAAATTTTAAATAATAAGTCGTCAAATAGTAAAATTTCGATTTGAAAATAATAAATGATATTAAAACTTTGAAGGCTTAATACCTAAACACAATGATCAAATGTTAACTAAGCACTTTTGGAATGTATAATAACAATTAGTTAACATTTATAAAATATTAGCACAATTTTGGAACAGTAAAAATAAATAGAAATGAAACCAAGAACATAAATATAATAAATAAGTAATATAATTAGAAGGTTATTGCACAAACAAAGACTAAGTCTAATCTACTAATAAAAGACAAACATAATGTTTCAATATTTAAGAACAGGTACATATAAGCCACTTTTTTTCACAATAATCAACAAGGCTATCATATCAACAACCTTTAATCTAAGTTATATCGAATTTAATACCTATGTAAAATTAGTTTTAACAATTTTCTCTTTATTAAATAAAAAAATCCAAATAGAAAAAAAGCTGACATACAAACAGCGATTGAATAAAAAGCGAAGTTTGAAAACAATTTTCTTAAGACATAAAATTTGCAAGTATGCGGTATAAATAAATTATAAATAAATTACATACATTGAAATTAAAATCACATAAATAAAGCAAAAGTAAAATATTTCAAAAATATTTTAAGCACCATAATCAATTGCACAAATAGAATATTCTTTGAAACCAAATAAAGACGCTTACCCTATTAAAATAAATAATTATCACACTTCATCAAGTGCCTTTATTAAAAGAAAAAAATTGATTGCACTCTAATGTGGTAAAATTTGAAAAGTAATTTTAACCACAAAACATATTTCAAGGAACGTTGATGTTTCTGTAGCTCGTTATAAAATTTAAATTAAAAATCACTGTTCCTATGTCAATTCCTTTTCCGGTACGGACCGAAATTTTAGCCAAAAATGTACAATCTATAGATTCATAATATATAAGTTATCGTTGAATAATAATAATTTGTTCAATGATGAGAAGGTGAACTGATGCCCAGGGCGTTGAACAATTTAGTTTTCAGTCCAGACTGCGCAGGCGATTGTCCTTGGCCGGCCTTCATTTCAAAATACGATACGAAACAAAAATTAAAACACATAAGGTAAGCATACCAAAATACATTAATTAAATAACTAATTAATAAACAAGTATTGTAACAAGCAATAGAATAATAATCAGAGTTGCTGGTGAGTCAGAATTGAAAAGTAAAAAGCAGAATAAAAGATTTAATAAAAAATAAAGCAACAATATATGAAAACTATTTTTATACTCACAAAGAATTGATTAGAAAATTCCGCAATAATACATAAAAAATCTAAACATCGAAAAATAATTCATACTTAATGTAAAATGCATTAAGCAGACTTCAAATTCATGCATAATAAGACAAACGAACGAATACACTTCAAAGAGTCTCAACATTTAAAAAAAAAATTAAAATATGGATATAACAGATAGGGCCTTAATTGAAACTTAATGGATTTCGAATTTGTGAACAATAATCTAAACTAGAATTAACACATAATCTACATCGATTAGTTTTAGGATTACTACTAGACTACCTTTTTCGGCATTTACATGACTTTCAAGAACAAACTATCAACAATAAAAAAATATGACTAAGAAGAAACACAATCTTTATCATAATTTATTTTTACCAATGAATTTATTTTTAAAGCAATGTAAATTCCAGAAAAGGCATATAAGAACTATTATCTAATACCTCCAACCTCTTTCATTAGCACATACATTCAGTATAATTCTAATAGTGTAATTCTTTACAAACTTACATCTTCGGAGTGATCGTAGTCTAAACTTTCGCGGGAACCCGCTTGCCCACGCATTGCGTTGTTTCTGATTCCTGAAGTGGGCCGTCCAGATCCACGTCGCTCACCAGGCGAACCGTCAGCACCTTGGCCACCTAAGATCTGTGCTACTTTCGCTTGTTTATTACGTCTAAGGCCTGCTATAAGAGTAATGAAAATGTGAAAACAGAATTTCCTTC